AGAAATCTATAATTTTTATAAAAAAGAATACAGATCAGAATAGAACTCCATTCTAAAAATCGCGATCTTCGACAATCAAACCAGAATTATCGATAAAAGAACGTGCGAACGCCTCGCCCCGATATTTTTATTAACCAACAATAAAAAAGACCTAATAATATTCGTCGATACCGTATTGCTATATAAAATGACCGCCGTTGCTATATAAATATTCTATATAAATATTATATGAATATTATATGAATATTATATATAAATATTATATAAATATTCTATATAAATATTANTTATATTAGTATGATTATATTATATATATAATTATATTACTATAATTATATATAATATTATATAATTATATTACTATAATTATATATAGTATTATATAATTATATTATTATGTTACTATANATATTATATATAAGTATTCTATATAAATATCATATGAATATTATATATAAATATTATATAAATATTATATATAAGTATTCTATATAAATATCATATGAATATTATATATAAATATTATATAAATATTATATATAAGTATTCTATATAAATATCATATGAATATTATATATAAATATTATATAAATATTATATATAAGTATTCTATATAAATATCATATGAATATTATATATAAATATTATATAAATATTATATATAAGTATTCTATATAAATATCATATGAATATTATATATAAATATTATATAAATATTATATATAAGTATTCTATATAAATATCATATGAATATTATATATAAATATTATATAAATATTNCGCACTCTTTAAACGGGCTCTTACAGCATGTACATATATACAAGATAAATCGCATAAGAATTTCGTCTCGGCTATCATAGCGCGAAATAATTCTCCGAAATAGCATTAATAACAGCCGTGCACGGTTAGGTGCCGCGCCGACTCGTTCAATCATCTGTCCGTAGGAGTTCCAGGTAACGTTTGTTTCGATCGATCAAATTGATTTGCAGCAGCCGAAAGACGAAGACATCCGGGAATATCGTAGGCTAACGAACAACGAGCACTACAAGACGTCGATACGTCGTCTCTCGAGGTCCGAGTACTTCTTCCCGGCCAATCAATTGTACGAATTCGCGTGCACCGTGTCCGGATTCATCGAGGACTTCGAGACGTCGACCTTCAACACTGCCATGTCGAACAGAATCTACGAGAACCGGACGCTTTGCAGCTTTAATCCTATTTTATCCCTTAAGGTGAGGCGAGACGATTTTTCTAGGAGCAAACGAGAGAGTTCAATTTTCGAGAGAAAAATTGTTCGGAATTATTACTAACTTGACATTTTTATAGAACTTTTTATTTTCTGAACCGAGGGAACAATATTCGCGAAAAATATTGTTTCGGTAGTTTAATACAAT